TATCAACCTAAGTGATTGGTAACATTTTCATAATTTTATATGACATTGTATTTTACAGTGAAAAAAAAGACATACTTGAAGCAGTAAAAAAAATCAATAATGAACATTAATTTAAGGGCTATGTAAAAAATAGGCTAAATGGGCTTTTAAAAGTTCATTTATCAGAGGATAAAGAAGAAGAAGACTTTATTTTATGTAGTAATCTGTATAGAACATATTTAATAGGACTAATTCATGGTTAAAATCACTTGTCCATAATGGTCTGACTCATTTGAAAAATAACTGGATACATGACATGTCCTAACATTTAATATTTGCATTACATAGTTATTTTACAGATCCAAATGCTTGTATGTCTTAAGATATTTTTCTAATTCTGAGTAATTTTTCCTATGCTTGTATTGCCTGATTTAATTTCTTTTGGATTTTGATCACAATAATTCACTTTTCTGACAAGAGATGATATTTTATTTCCCCATTGGTGTTAATAAGAACAAACCTTTGCAAGAAACATAGTTTGATTAAGATTCGGCACTTTGCAGCCCAATTTCATTTTACAATTCAATGTTGTTAATCTACAATTCTTCCCTGAGATAATTTTTATTACTTCCGCAAACTGGCAATCAAATCACTTTTTCTTAAACTATAAAGACATATGGTAGCTTTAATAAATGGATTTTTAAAAGTGTGTGTATCTTTACAATGACCAATGAAACACTTTTCCTATAATTATTCCTTTATTTTGTATATTATTTCATTCCAGTAACAAGAGTTAGAACACAGCCATTTGTGTACCTCTAGAGTCATATATTTTTATTTTTTTGATTTTTATTTTTTTAAAGATTTATTTTATTTTATTTATACAAGCACTGGGTACAGTCAGAAGTGCAGGAGGGTGAGAGAATTCACCAGAGCCAGAGTGGGGAACAGAACAGGCAGACTGACAAAGTACACTGCTGAGGGGAGCAGTGGGAGGCAGGAGGGGTCTACGCGCCATGTGGTACCCTTGCCCGGCGGCCGGGGATCGAACCGGCACTGCAGAGGCTGAGGCTAGCTTCGCAACCCAGCGCTCAACCGCTGTAGATTCATATATTTTTAATAGGATAGTAGTATCTCCATGTTGATCTAATGACAATTATAATAGAAATGAAAGTAGACCATGAGATAAAACTTCAAGTCTGTAGAATAAAACTGATTTGCCTTTGTATTTGATGAAAAATAATATTTTAGAAATATTTTAAATAAAAAATTAAGATGAGGTCACATACCTTTTATCACATTTCTGTCTTGTATCTGCAATAAAGTGTTCTTAAATCAAGGGAAAGGAAAGCTAACCTAGCCAGTTTGGATCAAGGTAGTTATAACAGTGTAATTTTCAGGAAAGGTAATACAGCCATTTTGAGGTGCCTCATATTAACAGTTAGCCAATAATTATTTTAACCATTTTGCCTCAAACTTGAAAATGCTAAACACTAAGGTTTTTTTTTTTTTTAAATGGTATTTATTTTTTTTTCAGGAGCTAACAAATTCCTTTTATTTTTTTAAATAAATTTTATTTTTATATTCCCCATACAATTGCAACCCCCTTATTTTGACCCCAATCCCTCCCCTCCCCGCCCCCCACCCCCCATAGAGTGTCTCTGGTTCATAGATTTTTGTTGATTTTGATTTTCACTTTCTTATATTCATTTTCCTGGTCCCTTATTTAAGTTTTCTAGATTCCTGCTATGAGTGAGACCATCCGGTATTTTTCTTTTTCTTTCTGGCTTATTTCGCTGAGCATGATCCCTTCCAGCGCCATCCATGTTGCTGCAAATTGCATGTGTTTATCTTTTTTGAATGCTGAGTAATATTCCATGGCGTATATGTACCACATCTTTTTGATCCAGTCATCTGTTTTTGGACATTTGGGTTCTAAACACTAAGTTTTAACAAGCAAAATGCATGAAGACATGTTTTCCCTCCCTCCCTCTCTCGCCCCCTCCCTCCCTTCTTTCTTCATCCTTCCTTCTTAATGAAGTACCATTGTTTTACATCCTTGTTTATGTTTTGAAAGTATAGGATTTCTTCCCTCAGGTGTGGCCACTGTAGCTCTCTCGCCACCGTAGAATCCTTAGTCCTCCACCATAATCCATTGTGCTCCCCTGCTTCCCCCTTTTGATTCCTCCCCTTTCTCCTTGCCTCCTGGATGCTTCATGTCTAATGTTGCTTTCAAGGGTTTATTTTAAACTTTGTGCTAATCTGACCCTTTATTTGATTTCTCTATATTCCACATATTATATGTGACACCATCTGGTAGGAGACATGTTTTCATTCTATTAATTGCTGCAGAGGATTGTCCAGATAAAGGTTCTTAATGGTTGCATGAAAAATTCTCTGTGTTTTTGTTGTGAATAGGGTGTTAGAAATAGGATCTATTCCAATGTAGTTTTCCCTTAAACAACTATGAAAATACTGCATGTCAAATGCTGTGCTAAGTTCTGAGAATACAAAGGTGAACTAGATGGAAATGCATCTTAACTTCATGGACTTTTCCATTCTAGTGGACAAAGAAGAGAAAAAGTAAGTAATTAAAAATCAAAATCAACAAGCAACTATAAAACAGAGATACACTACAGAGGTGGGGGGAAGAAGGGATTAGGGTCAAAATAAGGGGAGTGGGAGTTGTATGGGGACTGTAACCAAGATGAAAATGCATACATTGTGCAAAAATGAAAAATGGTGTAAAAATACATAAAATAAATAAATAAATGCACTACATAAAAATTAAAAAAGAAACAAATTATAAAGATTACTAAACAGAAATAATAGAAATTAATTAATATTGGCTAGACCTACTTTGGATAGGAGATATTTGCTTTAATGAAAAGATATTTAAGCCATGTTGAGGAAAATGGATCCTGAATATACAACATCAATTCAAGTGAAACTTTTTTGTAAGAAAGTTAGACTTTGGTAAAATTAATTAAACAGACTGAACATGTAATTGATGTTAATTATATTGTGAGGCACATCTAAAATTATCATTTTAGATGTTAACATGCCTATGGACTTATCAAATGATTAAAGTTTGTGTAAAGATGTGTAGTCTATTAATCTAAGGGTAATAGTATGTTTATAATATTCAGCCAAGATGTAGTTGGCTAAGAGAATCAAATAAACCTTTGCTTTTTTTTTCACCTTAAATGCATAATTTTATTAGCCTTTGATGACATGTTGTTACTTCCAGAATTTGAGAAGTGAATTATGTGTGACACCTAGAATCACATAAAATTGATGAAGTTCATTATCTTAGGGCATGATCATTTGAAAAACAGTGCGCGAAAACCATTACCTTTTCAATGAGTGATTTTGCTCTAGAAGTTAAAGATGTCTCTGAGACATTGCAATCTGAATTCACCACTTAGTGGTCAATTTGGCATAGTGTTATAGTGTGTTTTTCTTAAAAGATAATTCTTAAACTGTTAAATGTTTCTATTTTTATGACATAAAAATGTTTCTTATTATTTCTTATTTTATAATTAAGTCTATAAAGATATTTAAGCATTAAAAAGAAGTATTGAAAAAAAATATTTTAGAAACATAACCCAGAGTATATTGTTACTACTTTGGCATATAATCTTATAGATTTTTACCTTAATAAAATGTAAGAATTTATTTTAATCAATTACTGCTTTCTTAAAAATATAGTAGGCCAAACTTTCATGTCAAACAGTTTAACATTCTGCTATATGTACAAATGAACAATAGATTATTTCTATCACTGTAATGGATATTTAGCTTTAAAGTTTTTTTAATGGATATAATTAGGTAGCATTCAATATTCTTCTTATATATGTGACTTTTGTACATATCTAGTGATTCTGATAAAATTCTGAATATATTTCTATTTCAAATATCACCGCATTATGTTGATATTCATCACAAATTCCTCATCAGAGATGTGTTTCTACTCATTTATACTCTAGACAGAAAACAATATTACTGTAATTTTAATATTTTTGCCTATATTGCAAATGGATCATGTGATTTGCAAAATTGCATTTTTTAAGCACAGAAACTTGAAAATTAATTTATTGGCTTTTACTCTTTCTCCTGTTCTATCATGAATTATCTGTGTATTCTTCAAAACACTTTTCTATTGAAATATTTCCATTAATTAGGATAGGTAAGGCTATATGTTATTATTCTATTAATCCCAATATTTCAGTAAATCAAAACAGGGAGAAATTATCTTGTATCCATATCACAAGGAGTTGAATACAAGGCAGCATTCATTGGCCCTTCTATCAATCTAAAAATGGTGCCACTAAACCCATTGATCTTTCCATATCATGGAATATAAGGTGGGGATCATAATTGTGAGATTTCTGAGAAAGGGAAAGTGAGGGTTAGAGTATTGCAAGGTTAGTTTTCTAGGCTATGTTGGGAAAGTGGCTTTGTTGCAGAATTCACTGGCCAGCAGTGAGTCATATGAGCTTCAAATTCATTTTAAAGAAAGATGTTTGAAAAGTGCAGTAACACATATAAGAAGGTGTGAACCTCTACTTCTGAATCATATATATCAAATCATAAACCTATGTTACCTCCTAAATATTTATTTATTTATTATTATTTAAATTTTAATTTTTTTATATTCCCCTTACAATTACAATCCCCTTATTTTGACCCCAAGCCCTCCTTTCCCCACCCCCCAACCCCCATAGAGTGTCTCATAGTTGTTGATTTTGATATTTTCTTTCTTATAGTTATTCTTTTTTTTGTTTATACCAAAGCTGTAAGATTTTTATTCATTTATCATTCTACTACCAAAAAAAAGTACTGGAATATAATCCCACTTCAGTATACTGGTCTAATAAAAATTAAAGTATTCCAATTGGTAAAGTCTTTGAGACTTGCTTGAGAAACAAAATTAATGCATGTCAGAATATTAACAAAGCCAAATAATTCTGTTACATAGATTAGCCCATTTTGTATTATGTGCTGGCAATGGTCTAAATTATACAATTTCTACTGGTCTTTCAATTCCTTCAGTCTTCTGATGGCAGACTTTACTGTGACGGCAGAAGTAGTGTTGTAGGTCCAGGCACCACCAGCCACCGTTTTCATGCAGGTAACACAGTGCCAGATTCCCACAGCTCGCCTCTTCATCTTGGTTTTGCCACAGAAGGAGCAAGTGTTCTTGGCGTGCTGGCTGATTTCAATCTTCTTCACCATTTTCCTAAGGGAGGCACCATAATGGGCCCCATATTTACCGACGATCCCCACCTTCTTGGTTCGTTTGGCCATGTCGCCGTAAGGTGGGTGAGTTATTCTTTTTCCTGGTACCTTATTTAAGTTTTCTAGATTCCTGCTATGAGTGAGACCATCCGGTATTTTTCTTTTTCTTTCTGGCTTATTTTGCTGAGCATGATCCCTTCCAGCTCCATCCATGTTGCTGAAAATTGCATGTGTTTATCTTTTTTGAATGCTGAGTAATATTCCATGGTGTATATGTACCACATTTCTTGATCCAGTCATCTATTTTTGGGCATTTGGATTGTTTCCAAAGCTTAGCTATTGTAAATAGTGCCGCTATAAACATATACCTCCTTAATATTTAAAAAGCCAAACACACAGAAAGAAAAATCTTATATCCAAAGTCTTTAATCTACCTTCAGTTCACTTTAGTGTAAGGTATAAGCAAATGATCTAGTTTCATTCTTTTGCATGTGATTGTCCAATTTTCCTAACACCATTTGTTGAAAAGACTTTCTCTGATTTATACTTTTGGCTCCTTTGTTATAGATTATCTGCTCATTTATGTCTGAGTTTATTTCTGGACTCTCAGTTCTATTCCATTAGTATATGCATCTGTTTTTATTCCAGTATCATAATGTTTTGATTACTATAGCTTTGTGGTATGTTCAAAGTTTAGGCGTATGATACCAATGTTTCCAATCTTTTTTTGTAAGGGTAGCTTAGCCTATACAAGATCTTTCATGGTGCCATAGGAATTTCAGTATTGTTTGTTCCATTTCTTTGAAATGTCATTGGAGCCTTGATATGGAGTGTATTGAATCTGTATTTTGCTTTGGGCATGATGGTTATTTTAATAATGTCAATTAGGCAAACACTACAAGACTGGGTTCAGTGACATCTTTATTGATTTGTCTCCAATAACAAGAGAAACAAGAGACTATAAACAAATGGGATTGCATTAATCCAAAAAGCTTCTGCGCAGCAAAAGAAACTGTCACTAAAACAAAAAGACCCCCTACTGAATGGGAGAAAATAGTTGTACATAATATATCTGACAAGGGGCTTATATTCAATACCTATAAGAAAATCATACAACTGATCCAAAAGAAAACAAATAACCCAGGCAATAAATGAGCAGAGAGCTAAATAGACCCTTCTCCAAAGACAATTGACCAATCAGCACAAGAAAAAAATGCTAATCATTACTTGTTATCAGTGAAATAAAAATCGTAATCACAATGAGATGCCATCTCACATCTGTGAGACTGTCCCTTATCAAAAACTCCTGAAAAAAATAGGTATTGGTAAGGATGTGGAGAAAAAGGAGTTCACCTCACACACTGTTGAAAATATAGAATGGGGATCTCCCTAGTGGCACAGGGGGTTGAACGCCGCACTGTAAAGCTGTCCACGGCCTTTGTGGTGCCAGTTTGATCCCCAGCCAGCTGGGAGCAACCCACATGGCACCCCAGACCTCTCCTGTCTCGCCTGCTGCTCTCCTCAGCAGTGTATTTCGGTACATCTGCCTGTTCTGCTCCCTGCTCTCTCTGGTGAATCGTCTCATCCCCTGCGACTTTGGCCTGTACCCCACTTCTAAAAAAAAGAGAATATAGAATGGATAAAGCCCATATGGAAAACAGTATGAAGGTTTCTCAAAATATTAAAAATAGATTCAACATACAATCCAGCCATTCCACTCATAGGTATCTACCTGAAATGCCAAAGCATTAATAATGAGGAACATATGCACACCTGAGTTGTGACACTATTTATAATAACCACATTATGAAAATAACAAAAGTTCCTAAGGACAGATGAGTAGACCAAGAAGATTTATATATACACTATGGAGTACTACTGAGCAACAAAATAAGATGAACTCCTGTCATTTGCAATAACATGTTTTCATTTATATGTAGAATACAAAAAAAAAAACACAAAGGATCATTCAAACTCAAGCTAACAATAAACCCTAGAAATATGTCTATAGAATCAAGGTTACGAGAGCAGGAAGGAGTATGTAAAGAAGGAGATAGATATTGGAGTTATATGCCCACAAGCCAGGTGCTTCTGGAATCACCAGAAGTTTGAAAAGCTTAGAAAGCATTTCCCCGCACAGCTTTGAGGAGAGAATGGTCTTCCTAACACCTTAATATCATAATTCTGACCTTCAGAACTGCTAAATAATAATTTTTTGTTGTGGTTTGTGTTAGTTTGTTATACCAGCTGTAGGTAGAGAACATGGACATAATTCCTGTTTTCATAAAGTTCAGTATAGTTAAAGAATCATATATATGTGCACATAATTAAATTGAACATAACAACATGAAGCAGTTTTTGAAAGCACTCATTGAACCAGCGAGACTTGAGTTCAATTTCCTAGTGTTCTAATTAATAGCTTTCTTAAAATTCTGCCTGTGTTTCAATTTTTAGAAATCTGTATAATGAAAAACGTTGTTCTTGTGGTTGTTGTGACCTGTGAATGAGTTGATTTTTGCATTGCTCTCATACCCATCACCTCAGCAGGGGGGGGAGTGTTGTCAATTATTTAACAACCTTGCTAATCAAGCACACATGCAGAAGAATAATGAATGTATGAAATGTTCCTTTACATTAGGTTTAAATTATTTCTTCCAAATTGTTCTGAGCCAACAACAGGGCCAGTGTGGGAATTATTCATTGACATTAGGGGTCTCTTGTTTTTGAATTTTTACTGTCATCTCTGGTTCTCAGTAGATGCAACTGCTTCATGGTCAGCTCTTTACATTCTGTCTTTCCTCTGTAACTGTGAGTCCATGTTATTTGTTCTGTTGGTCTTCTGGTCTTTATCACTTGTTCATTTATCCATGTCTCTCTGTGTCATATTGGTTAGGAAGGAGAAATTATGAATTAAGAGTCAGCACTATGAAGCTATCTGCAGCTACTACAGCCAAGGAGGTGAACCACATGGTTCAGCAGACCTTTCCTGTCTTGCCCACTGATCCCCTCAGCAGTGTATTTCAGTCAGTCTGCCTATTCTGTTCCCCACTCTGTCTCTGGTGAATCCTCTCACCCCTGTACGTCTGGCCTGTACCCCAGTTCTTGTATGCATAAATAAATAAATCTTTTTTTAAATCCTATTATTACCATCTCTTCTTAGCACATCTTTTGTACTTTATATGCTAATAGCATTTCTGTGCTTCCCTCAGTGATGCATTGCTAAATCAATTCATTTTCTAAGATTTATAATACATGACTCAGTTATAAAAACTGCTAATACTTAATTTAAGAAGTTGAAGAGATAATAATTATCAATTTGAGATTGACTAATACAGTGGAAATATTATCTAAGTAAAAAGAGGTAAGACATATTCAACTGGAATAAAAATTGTAAGTCAAGCAATGCAAAAATCAACTCACTCACAGGTCACAACAACCACAAGTCAAAATGTAAATTATTTACATACTATTTTATTTAATCTACCTTAGCATAGAGAACTTGTCTGATAGTTGTTTGATAAATTGCATGAATAAAATCTGGACTTGCCTGAATTCTGAGTCATTGTATATCAAGTATCAGCAACTCTGTGAAAATATTTTTTCATAACACTTGAGAATATTCCTAAACCTTAAGCATTTTACTGTGTAATTTAGGAGTTGAGTGAGTAGAGATTTCTTTAATGCTCATAAATTTGGGATCAGTGCTGTACCACATTTTTTAAAAAAGGTTTATTTATTTATTTATACAAGCACTGGGTACAGTTAGAAGCATGGGAGGGTAAGAGAATTCACCAGAGCCAGAGCGGGGAACAGAACAGGCAGACCAACAAAAAACACTGCTGAGGGGAGCAGCAGGTGGCAGGAGAGGTCTGCCGCCGGGGATCAAACTAGTGCTGCAGAGGCTGCTGGCAGCTTCGCAACCCAGCACTCAACCACTGTGCCACTGGGGAGGCCAGATGTACTGCATTTTAAACCCTAAGGTATGGTCTCACTCATAGCAGGAATCTAGAAAACTTAAATAAGGGACCAGGAAAATGAATAACTATAAGAAAGTGAAAATCAAAATCAACAAAAAACTATGAACCAGAGACACTTTTTCGGGGGTGGGGGGCGGGAGGGGAGGGATTGGGGTCAGAATGGGGGGGGGTTGCAATTGTATGGGGAATATAAAAATAAAATTTATTATTAAAAAAAAAGAAAAAAAAATAAACCTAAGGTAAAGCAGAAAGGAATGGATTCTCCTTCATAATAAGCATCTAGGAGAATGGATCTCATAAAATCACTTTTAATAAGTGATAATGAATAAAAATTCCTGAACATTGTCTTGCTGTTGTTACTTTACAAGTAGAATGATGGCAGCTCTGGGGCACTATACGGTGATGTTGCAAAAGGAAAGTAGTAGTGAAATCAAAGTCACAGTTAATTCATATCACTGGTCTTATAGTTTTGTTTCATTTAGACATTATACATATTATAAATAACTGAACTTTCCGGTCATAGTTTTTATATAGTATGTTAATTCACAGTACTAAGCTCACTCGTTCATTTATTCATTCACTCAGTCAACCTTGTAATAGATAATTTTCAGTGCCCACGTATGACTAGAAGATGTTTTACTAAAAGGTGGTGACATAAAGACATGCAAGAATCTTTACTACAAGTAAACTTTTATTCTAGAACAGGAGAAATGTAAATATAAGTAAAAGGATGTTTTTAATGGAATGATACCAGTATTAGGATAAGTCCGCTTAGAGAACTAAGGTAATAGAATTATGGATTTGCTGCAGAAAAATAGAATTCTGTGTCAAGGAATTTAATCCTTATACAATGATTTTTAAACAAGATTTTAATCCTTTTACATGACTTTTATTCTTTGGATACTTAAATGAAGAAATGCTTCTATTTCAAAGGTAACTGTAGTAGAACTATAAAATGCTAATATTTAATTACTGGAAAACACACAGCCCAAAGGGACTTAGTCTAGTACAATAATCTATAAGCTTTATAACAAATTACCACTAAATAAACAATAGGAGTTTCTGAACTGAAGTGAAATATTAAAGGATTTAGGAATCAGAATATATTTTTCATTTT